GATTGCGCGCGACGTGGTTCGCAACGTGGTACGGTTGCGCGACGTGGTACAAATCTGGACGCGGCTTTATCTTTACAACGAAAGAAAACATTTTGCGTCTATCTCAGGCAACTTATTGGATAATGGATGGGACATTTAAGACAGTCCCAACAATTTTTCACCAATTATATACCATTCATGCTCCAGTGGGACCAAACAAGGATAAAACAGTACCCCTTGTATATTCGTTGATGACAGGCAAAAGTGAGGCATTATACAAGAGACTGTTCCAAGATTTGATTGATTTTTCCGAAGAAAACGCGCGTTTGCAACCGGTTATAGTAATGACCGATTTAGAAATAGCTGCGATAAATGCTATAAAATCTGAATTTCCGGGTGTCCGTAACAAAGCGTGTTTTTTTCATCTAGGACAATGTGGATGGAGAAGAATTCAGGCATCTGGACTTACAAGAAGATATGGTAGCGACGAAGAATTTAGTTTGTTGCTCCGCCACTTGTTTGCATTAGCGTTTATGCCACCGGAAGAAATACCAGCCGCATTTGACACCCTTAAACCACATATGCCACAGGAGGCAAACGATGTAGTTCTATGGTTCGAAGAAAATTACATCCACGGGAGAGTAAGACGCCATCTAAGGAATGGGGTGGCTCTTCGGAATTCACCTTTATTTCCACCAGAATTATGGCCCGTCTACGATTCTATGGAGCTTGGGGTTCCACGCACACAAAATATTGTGGAAGCGTGGCATAGAAGACGGGAAAATTTAGTTGGACGTGCACATGTTGGCCTATACAATATTATAGAAGAATTTCAAAAAGAATAGCGAAATGTAGAAAATATTTGTGAAAATTTGGTTCGAGGTGAAGGATGTTCAAAGCCTAAACAAGCAACAATTGATAGGGAAAAAAGGATTCTACACGTAATGGAAAATCGGTCTAATTTGACCTTATTACAATACCTGCGGGGCATTGCCCACAGCGTTGCTTTATAATAATATAAAAATAAATATGTACTAATTTATAATAAATATTAATTTATATGGTATCTATTTTATTTATTTCCCTTATATATAAAAAAGTCGAATTTGTCGGGATTTTAACTTGCCGGGATTTTAACTTGTCGGGATTTTAACTTGTCGGGATTTTGACCTGTCGGGATTTCGTCTGTCGGGATTCTAACTGTCGGGATTTTGACCGGCACCCCTTTTACTCGAGTACTTTTTTCTTGTACAGCTCTGCATAGTATATACCATAAGTGTTGCCAAGTTTTGGGAATGGATTTATCTTACCAGGGCTTAAAAATTATCGTATTTTTAAATATATTTTTATAATTAATTTATGAATTATACTTAGCACGTGCTAGGTACATATATACATGTATAAAAATTAATAATCAGATGCAAGTTACTTTTTTAAATTTTATTAAAAACATGTTTTAAATATTTTTTATTTTATTTGAGAAAATAAATATTTATTTTAATTAATTTTAGCATTTTTAGTCCCTTAAGTAAAATCATTAATGACATCCCTTTGATTTCATAATGAATTCATCGTGCGACTCATTAAGGATCTCACGTTGCTCATCAAAAGTGCAACACTTATGCGTGCCACAGTGACATCACTGAATGAATCAGCAATGATTTCACGTTGATGTCACAACGAATTCATCGTGTGACTCATTAAGGATATCATGTTGATCATCAAAAGGGGAACACATATGCGTACCTCAGTGACATCACTGAATGAATCAGCAATGATTTCACGTTGATGTGCATACAAAACCGATGTATGAGAACAGTATTGTATTGTAATAGATATACTCCAATTAAAACTATGTTAAATGTACTAAATTTGTTACCAGTTTGTGATAGAATATTGTTTAATACTTTAATGTTTATATACAAAATAAAAAACAATATTCTACCTCAGTATTTGTGCCAAAATCTGTCATTGGTTTCTGACAGAAACAGTTACACACTTAGAAGTAGTAATAATTTCAATATAGGTACCGTAAACACGGGTGACTTTGCACCTCACGGGTGACTTTAGCCCTTTTATGAAAAAAAATTTCGCGCTCGATAAAATTAACATTTATAATTTGTTGGTCTAAACCTGTCAATTGAGCGATTCTATTGAGTTTATATTACAGGAAAATCAGTGTTTTAAAAAAATAAATGGGATTTATTACACTTTAAAGTTGTATTGTATTAGTGCAAAACTCTTAAAAATACACGCGTTTCAATTTCTATATTATGCGCATTTCTTTGGAATGATGATCCTTGGTTAACTACAGGTCGATTTTTTATTGTTTTTATCGGTAATCCCTTGCAATTGTTATATCTCGCTGCTAACATATGTCTAATAAAAATAAAATAAAATATTGAGTTAATTTTATACCTACGGAAAATACACCGGGAGACAAAGTAACCCGCAACCAGGGGGTAACTTTGCACACCCAGTTTTTAATTTTAATTTTTGAAACTCAGCCCTATGTAAGATTATAACATAGTTTTTATGAAAGAGCAACTCAAGACTCAAATTTTGGTATACAATATTTAATGTTTATGATTGTTAAAACTACAAAAATTTAAGATTAAGTTTGAAAGTGAGCTAAAGCCACCCGTGTTTACGGTATTTGTAGAACAACTCAGATGAAAAACACTGTATTTTATAAAGGATTGGTACAATTTTATTTACTACCAGCTAAAATAAAAGAAAGCTTTAATATTAAACATTTTAAGACAAATTTACTTGAGCACTTCCGTAGAATCCGTGATTAGATATATATAAATTATTTATATTTTTATTGTTATACTGGACATGTTATATTTATATTGTTATGTTATTTTTTGTATATGTATGAGATAGCTTTCATGCTAAATAAAGATTATTATTATATTTATGTTTCTTTAAGAATTTTATTGTGGATAGGAACTAAGAGCGCACATCCACTCTCTTACCCGTTTGTTTTGAAACTGGTAATACAAACTATTATTTTATCGCCGAGGAATCTCCTTTAGTAGTACAGCCTATTCTATAGTCAGCTTTTTCAACATAGATAGTTCGTATATAGAAATATGTCAGCCAAGAGCGTGTCTTACTCAGGGATAGGCAAGATCCGGCAAAAAGGATTTAAATCTAAATCCATAAATCCACACCATAAACTGGATCTAAATCCTCAATCATAAATCCATTACGACGTTATCTGGATTTAAATAATAAATCCTAAATCCACTTGCAAAAAAGAATTTAAATCCTAAATCCATAAATAAATCCTCTATTTTTTTAATATTTATTTCATTAATCTTTCAAGAAAAGTTTCCGGATTATTTCACTTTTTAAGTTTAATTTAAGCTAAAACCCCTTGGATTCCAAATCAAAATTGATATGAACCTTATTGCACGTATATAAGATTCCATCGAAAATCTTTGGAATATGAACATAATGATCTGTGGCTTCTGGTTTCTTCGCCATAGGATTATGAACGGAATCAGTAAACTGTGCTTCTGATTTCTTTGAACAGCCAGCCAGTTCATTCATTTTACAACTGTAACAACACTAGTGTTTATTAAGACGGCACAAATCTAAGTCAAATTATGTAAGATAACAAATCTAATTTATCTAAAAAATAATACCGGAATTTCTGGGTATGAATTTCCAGGGGGGGGCCGGGCCCCCCTGCCCCTATGTAGCGGCGCCCATGATCCCTACTATCCTTGTGCTGTTATGACATAACTACATTTTCATATTAATTTAGTTTAAATGCCTAAACATAATGATTTTTAAATTAAATATAATTTTACTAATATAAATTTTATATTATTTTATATTCATAATAGTAATTGTATCTGCATATCCTAGAAACAGAGATTTCAATATATTTGCGTAACACAGGTTTGGGATGATTTAAATCAAACTTTATTAAACTGATATACATAAATACAAATTAACCTTATATATACGTTAGGGTGAGCCAAAAAAACTAACCTATCGGATTTATGGGATAAAATGAACCTACATACCGAGCAAAAAATTTCCCTGCAAGGCAAAATTTGTTGCTCAATTTTAAAAGGTGTCGGTGAGCATTCTAAGTTTTCCATTGAAATAACACGTAAAAAAATCTTTTTTCATTAAAAAGACTATAACTTTTGAACCGTTTGAGATAAAAATTTTTACGTCGCGGATTCTTGTAGAGCATAAAATTTCCCAAAGAATCTATACCAGGATTATTTTTTTAATTCAAAAATTCGTATGTTTGAAAGCTTTGAAAAGTGTAAAAAATCACTAAAACTGTAATTTTTCCTTGCAGGGAAATTTTTTGCTCGGTATGTAGGTTCATTTTAACCCATAAATCCGATAGGTTAGTTTTTTTGGCTCACCCTAATATACGTATACGTATACGTCTAAGATATTTAGTCTTTTTTATTTTACATATTATTTATTCTCGTTTTAATATTAAGAAAAAATAGTAATTTCCCTGCTTTATCAAAACCTAGTCAATTTCTTCGGAATATACATTCCGAAGGAAAAAAATTGGCCGAAAACAATTTGACAATTTGTAAATAAAATGTATATTATGTCAAATAATGCGACTAAACATAAGAAAATAAATAATATAATTAAATAATTTTACACCAGTTCTTTACATACTTAAAGTTTAGTTTGATTTATTCAATTTGAACAACTTAGGTTTTATCTGTGAAATATTTTAAAAATTTTAATTATATAATATAAATTTAAAAAATACATAATAAAATTTATCTCATAAAATATTGCAAAAAAATTACTTAAACTTTGCCATTATAAATTTATTCTGTCCATTATGATTTTTTATTTTCCTTCTAAAAGGCAAGTTTTGACCAACACTGTTTGTGTTTCTAATAAGATAATTACAATGTTACCAGTGATAACAATTATGTAGGTACATTGTCAATTTACAGTTACTTATCCTGACGATATCATTATATATTAATAATAATAACAATAATTTAATATTTCAGTATTGCGATTATTGTGATCCCCTGAATCCTGCGAAGACGCATCCTCCTGAGTTTGCTGTAGATGGAATTGATACATGGTGGCAAAGTCCTCCATTATCAAGGGGAATGAAGTATAATGAAATCAATTTAACAATTGATTTGGGACAGGTATGCATATTATAATTTGTAATTAGTTGTAGTACAATATTTGTATTTAATCTAGTAACCACACTTAATTACTAAGCAATTGGAAAACTTTTATTAAACCAACCAATTTTTTTAAATGTATTCAGAAGCCAAAAATGCTATAAGGTATCGGTCAAGCGTCTTAGTTTTTTTTTCAGACAAAGATATAGCCTAAACTTAAAAAAGAGGCCACTAATACGGATGGCTTTATTGCATTTCAAAGTATTCGCCTTTAAAATTCATGCACTTTTTCATACCCTTTGAACCATTCATGGGAACACTTATTCCACCCAGAAGTAAAAATCTTATAAATATGCATTTTAAAAGCTCATGCATTTTTTTTACACTTGGGAACAAAAAAAAAAAGAATTAGGTAATAAATGAGAAAAATACACACTGAGAAATTAATTTAATGTTTCAATTTAAGGGAATTGAAAATTAAGGACAAAGAAGGATTTTGCGTTTTTGAAACTCCATGAAAAGATGTGACAGAGAATCTGTTTTTTTCTACGAATATGCAAAAATCATTATCCACCTTACCCATCTTTTTGCATATTCGTAGAAAAAACAGATTCTCTGTCACATCTTTTCATGGAGTTTCAAAAACGCAAAATCCTTCTTTGTCCTTAATTTTCAATTCCCTTAAATTGAAACATTAAATTAATTTCTCAGTGTGTGAATTTTTCAGTGTACCCCCGCTAACTGTTTTAGATCTACCCTGTTTTTTTAGTAACCCAGATAACATTATGATGTTCATAATTGACGCATATTGCAGTCACAACGTCACACGCATATATGCATCATTTGCGACATCAATTGAGGTTAATATAGCCAGCACATTTGATGGTTGGAGAAACATTGCGAGGTTCATAATTTACGCATATTGCAGTCACTACGTGATTCTTAATCCGCACGTATGTCACATATATGCATTATTTGCGTCTTCAATTGAGGTTCATATAGCCAGCACATGTGATGGTTGAAGACATTTTTCTGGGCATAATTTGGAATTTTGGACTTGCATTGCCTTAATTTGATTGTTTTTCTTACGTTTCGATTAGTAATTATCTTTAATTGTCTTCAGTTATTACCTGAAGACCATTAGAGATAATTACTAATTGAAACGTTGTAAGAGAAACAATCAAATTATTTTGTATCGTTTTTTCTTGTTAATAATTTGCAATAAAATCATATGTTAACCTATAAAATGGTGTTACTCGTGTAATATGAAAGATAATGGAGTAAATAAAAAAACAAAATGTAAAAAAAAGATAAGGCTAAAGTTTAATTTTAATTTTAACTTGATATTGTAGCTGTTTAACTCTACAGGGTGTTACAAATTTTATGAAAAAAACACGCTATAATTGTTTCACCCGGTATTTGTAAAAAAAATGTCTATCGGAATATAGTTAGTATACCAACATTGTGAAAGGGACAACCTATTATTAAAAAAAACGTTTAAATCGGACAATTGGTTTTGACAAAAATTTACTTAAAACTTTTGGCTATTTTTTGGTGGTGCGTTAATTTCTTGGAGGAGTGTATTTTTAAATAAATTATTGATAAATTAATTTATAAACGTGATCTTATAAGATCAACGTGTTAACTCGTTGATATTAAGATCAATTCCAATTTGAAATAAAATTATCTATATTTTTTATACAAAAGTAGGTAGTCTACAAATGTAGTCTTTACAAATCCAGTCTTTTCACAAATTAACCAAATGGTGTAAGTCAATTTTTTTAAAATTTTAGTTATAATATGAAGTAAAATTAACAATTTTCCCAAGATGTAGTGTAGATCTAGTATTACATCTACAATTTTGCGATAACTATTCAGCAAAAGTGAAAAGTTTGCAATCATTTTGTTCCCTCATATACCAATCACGTGCGTATATTCCCATTAATCATAAAATGAATATCATATCGCAGCGTTTTTACAGTCACGCATGATTCCGCACGAAGTGAAGGCAATGTGCGTTTTGATGCCCGTGCGTGTATTTCCATTAATCATAAAATGAATATCATATCGCAGCATTTTTACCGTCACGCATGATTCCGCACGACGTGAAGGCGATGTGCGTTTTGATGCCCCTAACGGTTGTTATCTGGGAAAATCGGGCAGTGCATGTTTTAAAAATGCAGTGCTAGATTTTAAGTGGCATTGCTTGATTTTAAATCGCATTCCCAGATTTTAAGTAGCAGTGTTAGATTTTAAGTAGCAGTGTCAGATTTTAAGTCACATTGCCAGATTTTAAGTTGCAGTGCCAGATTTTAAGTAGGTAGCAGTTCTAGATTTTAAGTCGCACTACTAGATTTAAAGTCACATGTCGTTTTCTTGTTTCGCCACTGAATTACAGTGTTGCCTAGTATTTATAATTTTAATTTACATTTACAATAATTATTTATACAACATTTACAATTGTTATTAGCACAACACAATACTATGATAATAATAATAATAACTTTATTGACGGTATTAAACCGTATTAGACTATAGATTTATAGCCCGTGTTCAAATATTTTTTTGCAAAAACTAATTTTATAGATTTTTTTAACGAAACAAAATATTTATTTTTTTAGTTTTTGCAAAAAGAATTTAAGAAAAGAACCGAAAATAACCTAAACCCGTTTTAAATTTAAAGGGTTCGGGTTCGGTGTCAGAGTTACATATAAAAATAATATGGGTTCGGTCACGGTTCCGATCCACAAATAAATACCGGTTCCGGTCCGGTTTTCTGTCCAAAAACGTCCGTTTCGGGTCCTGATTCAGAGTGTTTTTTTATTCCAATTTACAACTGAATGAATTTTATATTTAGTTCGTAAAAACACTGCAATATTCGATCATGCACACGGCTATTTATTTCGACTGCGACTTAAAATCTGACAGTGTGACTTAAAATCTAGCAGTGCAACTTAAAATCTGGCAATGCTACTTAAAATTTGACACTGACACTTAAAATCTAGCACTGAATTTTAAAAACATGCACTGCCTGATTTTGATAAAAAAACATAGTGATGGCCCTTAACTATGGTTTCGCGTAAAAATCGAACAAATTATGGACATTTGTTTGCAAGTGATGTCAGAATTGAATATATTTTTTAACCTTGTTTCTACTTCTAAATGGTGAATTTTTTTCAAAACAAAAATTTCATCCATTGACCGCTGTGGTTTTCAGGCCTTGTCACTCTACTGTGTTAAAAATAGATAAATTTCAATATTTTGTAATGATATTTTTATTTAAAACGTATCGATTTGAAATTAAGATAAAATGTAGACCTTATAAATGGCAATAAATCCACGTAATATTTTTTTTAGATTTTAACATACAAATTTTACCAATTTTTAAGGGTTAAAAAATCGAAGAAGCAACATTGTTTTATAATTTTGACTATATCACGTTAAAGTACTGATAATTAACTATTATTTGATATATAAACTTCTACATGCAAATTATTTTTCTACGAGAGATTTTTAAGTTAGGCCTTCAAAGGGCATAATACTAACGTGTTTTACAAAGTATATATTCTTTTATCTAGTTTTATAAGATATTTTAATATATATTACATATTAAACATTATATATTACATATAATATATTATATATAACATATAATTCTTACATATTTTAAAAAAAAAATCGCCATAGATGGAACTAAAATTACTTTTATTTTTAAATTTAAATTTTTTTTAAATTTACTTATTTTGATCATAATAGGCATCATAAACTTTTCTCTATGGTAACCTACCATTGTAAGCATATGACAGTTCAGTTTATAAGTTGCAAATGACTGATTGCGTTATTAGTGTACTATAAACTCAAAACATTAATTTATTAAAATGAATAAACTAAATAATAATTATAGACAGTGTCAGCAAGTTAGAAATTATAACCTACTTTAATTTTATTTTTTCCCCACAACCAAGCTTCAATTTATTTTTGTACTCGATAAGCAAGCTTCAATTTTAATTTCAAACTGAGGAAAGTAATATTTACCCAATAAATAAATTAGAATAAGGACTTTTTATGTTGCGATCGGCTATTTATATATATGTATTTTTTTATTCAGTTGTTTTAGTAATTAGTTATTTTGCATTTTTTATATTTAATATACCTAATGCTATAAAGGGTGTTTCTGGAGAAACGCAAACGATATGGATTTGAAATTTTAATAGCATATATAATATGATTTAGACTATACCTAAAGTCAATAGTTTTCAAGATATTAATTTTTTCGTTAAAATTTTGCTATATGAGCGTTAATCAAAAATAGCCTCTAACTTTTTTGTTATTATCTTTGCTGACATGGGGTTGGAATTTTTGGAATATTATAACATTGTTTAAATAATTTATTTTTTTAAAGGTTTGTCAACAAATAACTTGAGTAAAACTACTTGAAATTAGGCAAACTTCAAACAATAATAACGTATTTATTATAAATGTAAAACCCTGTATGTTTTAACATAATTAAATATAGTTAAATAAAGTTAAAATTTCACATTTAACAATTTCTAATATTTTCAATACTATTTTGTATCAACAATCCTGTGAAATTCTACATGTGGGTTAATGTGACAGTATCCATGGTTACCACTTAATCTGTCATTGTTTAATAGTATATTATGTATCAAGTTTGATAAACGCCATTTTATACACGAATTTAATTTAGGCATGAGCGAGCTTGTGAGCGAGTGCTTTAGTTAATAAGTGTATAGAAAAGTTTATAAACGAGGTGCATACTATACTTTTTCTACGACAAATACTTATTATTATCTTAAAATGATTTAAATCAAAAAATTGTATAGAGCGCCATCTATGAAACAACAGGGGAAACTGTCAAATGTCACATTTTTACATTTTATAAACACAATTATAAAGGTTATAAATCGAAATGTATCTTGAAAATTGACAGTTTTTCACAGTGAAAGTAAAGGAAATGTTTTATAAGGACTTTACAGTAATTTAAGTTATAGTTTACTGCC